GGGCTTGGAAGGTGGGGATTGGAGGTGGGAGGCATGACAGGGAAATCTGTGGATGGTGAAATAGGTAAAATGGACCAGATTAGTTGGGAATTTCCTGGCGATGAGTACTGAGTCATTCTGCGTGCTTGCTCGATGGCTGCTAGTGAGAGAGTCCTTCCAGATGCTTGGAAAGTTGTCAATTCTGCTTTTGGCAGTGATGTAGCATAGCAACTTTACCTTCATCATTCATACAAAACATTTTTTCAAGTTAATTTAATCACGCAGGTCCTCCTACTTGAGTCAGTAGAACATGTGTAACAGGTTAAGATGCTAGGCCACAGTGGCAAGAAAACCATGAGAACAATGCCAAAGAGTAGACATTATACTGGTATTCGAACCTTGGGGACCAACTTCTCCTGGTTCACCAGCAGGGCCACGGCGTCCAACACCAGGCTGGCCTGGCGGCCCTCGCAGCGTCTTGGCTATCTCAGCCAAGTTTTCTGAAGTGAGGTGTCAACACTTGCACATTAATATTAAACTATCAGTGCTCTGATAAATGTTAATAAAACAACCTATTTATTCCACTATATTAACTAATTACATATAAGAATGAGAATTTTAGGCATTATATAAGCTTTCTTATTAATATATGTATACTGTAGTTACATTGACTGTTGTCGCTTTTGTTTCAAGCGTAACGCACTTCAATTTTTAATGTATGCATAGCTGAGTAATATTTACAATACTTTACCAGTCTTACCTTAATTCCTGTTAATTAATAAATTAATTAATAAAACTTGCCATATTAGTTTGGTGTAATCAGTCCCGGGAGTTCTGAATGCCTACCGGGGACCATGAGACAGAACCTGGTCCCCTCAGAGAGGCGCAGAGAGCAATGGTCTACGAGCACTCTACATTTAGAGTATGTCACGTCTGCTATCGATCAGGGAGGGCACCCAGAAAGATAGGCGAAACAATACAAACCCCAACTGGTAAAAATTGCAACCTAAGTTCGAAAAACGCCAAAGAACTCACCCCAAAAGAAAACAAACAAGCAAATCGTCATCTAACTAGCGTGCCTGCTTGTTAGCGCCCCCACCCTCCCCCGATAGGGGGGAGGGGAAGCCCATTCAGGCGAGCCGACGGCCCACCACCCCAGTTCGTAGAATGCTGAAAACCGCCGACCGGAGGGAGGGAGGGAGGGTGTCAGGGACCCTCTGGGGCTCACCCAGAAAATGGCGTTTCATTACATTCAACGCTGGTTTTCTGTGAGGGAGCCCCATCGGCTCCCTGAAGCTAACTACCCACAGATAAGTAAAAAAGGGAATTATCTGGGAGGCGGCAGTACCGCGGGTCTCAAGACGAAGACGAGACTTCAGGCTGCGACAGATGTCCCAAGACAACACAAGGCCGGAGACGGTCTAGAACATTCACAAGATATCTGGTGTGCAGAACCCTGATTGATTTCCAAAATCCTCGTGCCCAAATGTCAACTCAAGCCATATTCCCAAAGACAGCAGCGAGAGCTGCATGTTTCCTCACACCCTGAGCACGAGGGTAGACCGCAGTCTGGCTAGACTTGATCAACCTGAGAGACACGAGCCCTGGAACAGGGAACCAGTGATACCAGATCAACCCAGAGCGTGTCCACTGTTACTGAACCAGTGGCCCGCAGGTAGTGACATAAAAGCCGCCACCGGACACAAAATATGATGCACACCCGGCCGAACCAACCAATCATCAACAACCCATGAACCCCTTCTGAAACCAACTGTCTCATTCGTCACCAGAAAAGAAGGAGAGGGCTGCAAACAAACTAAACGACCCTCAGGACCAAAGGAACAGAACCCCCTGCGTCGGAGAAGAGCATGAAGCTCTGCAGCCCAACCCCTCCCCAGAGGCCAAAGCCAACAAAAACAAGGCTTTTAGAACACATTCCTGAACCGAAGGGGTTCACAGCAAACCAAGGGGAGGAAAGAAAAGGTAGTACACGGTCTAAAGACCAAGATGGCTCAAGCGGCGCATGAGCAGGCCGCAGGTGAAAAAATACATGGAAGAGCTTGTGGAATGGAGCAGAAGTGACATGTACCCCGAACGCAAGCTGGAGCAGCTTTGCCAACGCCGCACGAGAAGAAGCGACAGTATTCGGCATGATATGTCAGGTCCAAAAAGAGACAAGAAAAAAAGGACAAAACCACCTTCACAGACACCAACAGCACTCTTCGAAGGGAAAGGAAATGGCGGAAAGACTGCCAGGATACTTCATACTGTCGCTAAGACGAAGACCACAGGTGGGGACACCATCAGAGAAGCCACCTGATTACTATACAAGTGGTGATACACCCACATCTGAAAAACCAGATGCAAAGACCGGAAGAGTAAATTGAACCAGCAAGGTACCTCACTGGCCCGACCTGCTGAAAGAGGCGGAGCCGCGGAAAGACTCGCAGGTTCGGATACCAAGCAAGCAGCACCTGAAACCAAGGCTGGGCCAGCAGTCATGGGACCAGGAGAAACAGCCACCCCTGATAGGATTCGAGCCGAGCCAGAACCCGAAGCAACAGCTGGTTCTAGGGAGAAAGGTACAGGAACCCCCCCACCTCGACCAGTCCTGCCGGAAAGCATCTACTGTGAAGCCTTGTAGTCGGGTAACGGCACCATGGACATAGGGAAATGCCGAGACTACGCTGACGTGAAGAGGGCCACCCCTGGGTGCCAGAATGTCCGACAAAGCCAAAAGAAGGTAACGGTGTCGACCGTTCACTCCGTGGAAATGAGAATAAAGCACAATAGGCCAGATGCCAGGACGTGAGACACCCTGAATATGAACACCGCAGAGAACTAAAATCCGAGAACTCAACAGAAGAGCTACCCAAAGCAACCAGCCCAAAGAGCCACGGAAGGCAGAGACGTATCCTCCCCCCCCCCCCAGTTGAGACAATGAACCACAAGGGTGCAATCCGAATGGAGCCGAATCCGCCGCAATGCCAGCCACATAGCATCAAACTCCCCCACCATGCTGTGAACCCAATGGAAGGACGGAGCCCAATAACCCTGGTCCGCCTGGTGAGCGCTGGTCACAAAAGCCCAGCTCAGAAACGAGGCGTCCGTGAACACATCAAGAGCAGAAGGGGAAAGGCGCCACGACACTGAACCCCGAGAACCCTGAATAGGAAGCCTGTGACTCAGCAACTGACGTAAAGACACCGGAGTGTGAACCCAACGGTCGCGAGAGAGGTAAAAGGGGCTGCACCTTTGATACCAGAAGAGCCTCCAAAGCCAAACCTTACCCAGTGGGTAAACCAGCATGGCAATGTTCAGGTTCTCACACATCTGCACGAGCAACCGACAAGTGACCCGGGTACCTCTCCAAAACAGCTGAAGGCAGGACCGCAACCGGAGCAATGCCAAAGGAGGAAGAGAGATGGATGCAGTCCGCGAATTCCACACAAGGCACATCCATGTCCGAACCAGAGAAGGAACTGAGACTGGGACTTCCGCCAATTTACCAGGAACCCGAACCCGGCTAGCTGGGAAAGAACCAGATTCCAGGCTAGCAGACTCTCAGCCCAGCTGGGAGCCCACACCAACCAGCCATCAAAGTAGGCCACCAGCCGGGAAGGCACTTTAACCTCGGACCGCCTCCTATCAGGGAAAGAGGAACCGAACTCAAATAAATAATGGCAAAACTGGAACCATCACAGCGGCGAAACCGGGTTTCACTGGAGGCACGCGCCAAGGTCCTCCCAAAACGCCCAAGGGGAATCCAAGAGGAAGAAACCTGCGGAAAGATGAATCTGAGGAACCCTAGGCCACTCGGAAACAAACCCAGGGGGAACCCTACCTACCTACTCTGACCAACTCGGGAGCAGTTGGTCATACTTTGACCAAGTTGGGAACAGTTGAACGTACTCTGACCCACTTGGGTGCAGTTGGTTATACTCTGACCAACTCAGGAGTGGTTGATTGTACTCTGACCCACTCAGGAGCAGTTGGTCGTACTCTGACCCACTCAGGAGCAGTTGGTCATACTCTGACCCACTCAGGAGCAGTTGGTCGTACTCTGACCCACTCAGGAGCAGTTGGTCATACTCTGACCCACTCAGGAGCAGTTGGTCGTACTCTGACCAATTTGGGAGCAGTTGGTCGTCCTCTCATCCACTCGGGTGCAATTGGTCGTACTCTGACCTACCTCTCAAAACTGAAGCACATATTCCCCGCAACTCTTCCTCTGTGTATTCTCGACCCTGAAAAATAAAGTGTACTATGTAGGTTATGAAATGAAAAGATTTGTTAAAACATTAATTATGAGATGTTCTGTTGCCAACTATATGGGTCTTAACAGTCACATCAATCCATCCTGTGTTTCAGTAGCAAATGTGTCATAATCTATCAATTTTCAATCTATTCTCTATTATGATGCAAGAAAGATGCATGTTAATGATTCATCGACTCATCCTTTGTTAAGTGATAAAGAGATGTTAGCCAACTACTGTACTTAGGCTTCAACCCATCTATAAAATTGTCTTGATGTCCAAACACAATAACAAGTGAAGGTGTGTATATACGCCTCGTTATGAGTGTAGGCAGGTTGTCTGATACCTTTACCAATGTTGACATAAAACAACAAACTCAACGAAAAACAAAAAAACATAGACAATGACATTGTGTATTGTTGAAATCTGTTATTAAAATAACCTAACCTGATATCATAAAATTATTCCGATTAAACTTAATTAACTTTGTATTTTTAATATTAGTTGAATTTAATAAAATATTATTTTTCTCCTAAATACATGAATGATAAAGACCTAAAGAGTGACACAGTGGGTTAACTTCCTTTGATGATTTTGCCACCCATTTTGTCTTATAAGTATACAGTATACTATTGGAGAAATTATGTAAGGAGATTATTTATAAATAAAATAATGTTTTATCATCATACTATAGAATCATTTTTGGTCCATTTGGGTAATTCATAGATGAGCCTGTATAATAAGCCATTAAGAGAGTGGCCCATGGGCCAAAATGACATTCACTCTGCAGGGATATATATGTACATGAAGATGTGTATCTCACTTTTCACTGTACTCTGTATACAGTACAGTGAAAGTTGACTTTAGTTCTCAACAATGTTCAGGACTAACGTATAATTGCTGGTTGGTTAGTAGCTCTTGTGGGGCCCCAACAACCATCATAAGGTTGATAGGCCTTAAACCCAACACCAAACCTATCCACTCTCTGAATATAACATTGACCTGCTTGTGTACCACAGCTACTTGTATGGTCAGTCTGGAGCATTCTCATCGTTCAGTACCACAGCTACTTGTATGGTCAGTCTGGAGCATTCTCATCGTTCAGTACCACAGCTACTTGTATGGTCAGTCTGGAGCATTCTCATCGTTCAGTACCACAGCTACTTGTATGGTCAGTCTGGAGCATTCTCATCATTCAGTACCACAGCTACTTGTATGGTCAGTCTGGAGCATTCTCATCGTTCATTACCACAGCTACTTGTATGGTCAGTCTGGAGCATTCTCATCGTTCAGTACCACAGCTACTTGTATGGTCAGTCTGGAGCATTCTCATCGTTCAGTGCCACAGTTACTTGTATGGTCAGTCTGGAGCATTCTCATCGTTCAGTACCACAGCTACTTGTATGGTCAGTCTGGAGCATTCTCATCGTTCAGTACCACAGCTACTTGTATGGTTAGTCTGGAGCATTCTCATCGTTCAGTACCACAGCTACTTGTATGGTCAGTCTGGAGCATTAGCAAAGCATTCTAACCCTTCAGTAACTTCAGTAACTATTCACTACTGAGTCTCATGCAGGTATGGGGCTTCATCTAGTTTAGTATTGCAGTGCAATTCTATTGTGCCTTTACCATTGATAATATTGCTCTATGCCACAATATATTCCATGCCTTTCACCTTTTTAGTAAATCTTTGTATCATCCAGAATCCTAATGAGTTGTCCTCAGATGCTATCAATCGTGTCAATAATGTAGTATACAAAAATAGTTATTAAAAATCATTGCAGAACTACATAAATTTTTGATACATTCAATACTTTTTCTACATAGGATGACTTTGCTTAAAGTGTTTTAGCTAACTTTTCATCCATTTCAGTATTTTGCCAGTGACTCCTACATGTGCCATTGATTCTATTGTAGTTTGTGGTCCGATCCTTCACGTAGTGCATTATGAAAGAGTTTGGAAAAGTGCACATATACCGTGTCTACTGGAAGTCCCCAGTCTGTGTTCTCGTTACTGTTCCTAGAAAAGTGAAGCAATTTGTTACGAGATTTATTTTTCACACGTGTTGAGATGCTTTGATGAGAATGTGCACCCAAGATGGTTGTCATCAGCTTGAAGAGGAATGGAGCATCATGATTCCATACAAAAAATCTGAAGTTTAATGCACTTTGATTTCAATAATTTAATTTTCATCACCATAGGATGCATGCAGCCATTATGGATGTATAAAGTATATCCTCATTTATTTGTGAACTTTCTTCTTAAATCAATAACTTTTCTCAAGATTAATTAAGACCAATTTAGCTAGTTTTCATTGTTATTCTTTACATATTTTATTGTTGACCAAAACCACGCATCAGAAGATGGAGAAACCAGAACGTTTCGGTCCATCCTGGACCATTATCAAGTGTGTGTGATAACGGTCCACGACGGACCGAAGCGTCGTCGTTTCTCCATCTTCTCATGTGTGGTTTGGTCATTATATCTTCAGCCCCGCTATTGTGACTCATCGTCTGTTTTTTTTATTCATTTCTTCACTCTGGAATAAAGGAGAAAAGGTATCAAAACAACATTGTTACACGGGCTAGTGATGAGAGTGACTTACAGGAGTGCCAGGCGAACCATCATTGCCAGGTGCTCCACGCTGGCCTGGAGATCCAGGCAGCCCAGATGGGCCAGCAGGTCCAGGCATACCAGGGTGGCCCCTCTTGCCTTCAGGGCCTCGGGAACCATCGGCACCACGCTCTCCGGGCTAGAAAAGTATCAAATTCAACTTCTACTTGTTTTTAAAGTTATATTTTTAAATATACAAAAGTATTTGGCATGTATGTTATGATCATGCGCGGTTGGTGAGAGGAATAAAATACTTACAAGGCCTGTAGCCCCCATAGGACCCACAGAGCCAGGCATACCGTATGCACGTTCACCAGCTACTTGTATTGCCTGAGGGGCAGATTCTCCAGGTGGACCAGGAGGACCTGGAGGACCAGGAGCACCAGGCTTGCCTGTAAATCCAGGAAGACCTGGTGACCCAGTTGGACCAAGAGGACCTGTTGGACCCTGCACCATGAAAATTTAAAACAAATTTAGTTCTTCAATATCAGTTTCTTTTTAATGAACATCATATACATTTCATAGTACCTACATACTTTTAATAATTCAAAATTTCATAAAAAAAAACAATAAGTAACCTAGGAACATAATATATTTATCCAGAACTTTCATCCTCAACTATTTTTTTAATTCTTCTTAAATAATGTGCTCTATGTATAGTAACAATTACCAATTAATCAAATAATGTTCACCCTAGAAAATGTGGCCTAAATATTGAACACCTTACTGGTATTTATGGCAACTCTCCACAGTACATCTAGTGCCAACCAGCCCCTCAGCTATTATCTCTGTAATACTTGAGGCTCCAGTGGTACAGTGGGCTTCTTTCTCCACACAATCAGGAATCTCGAAGTCAAGTCTCGAGCAAGACAAAAATGACTGGACAATAATTTTCTTTCACCTAGTGCTGCTATTCACCGATCAGTAAATAGGTGTCTCGAGTTAGGCAGCTGTTGTGTGGGGTTGCATCCTGGGGAAGGTTGGTAGTTTGTACTAGGGGAGGATCTCAAGAGTACATTTGTGACCCCAGAATGACAAAATACACCCAGCTCCTGGTAGGGCACGACAACTCACAATACTGTATTGTGTGCTTCACCAGGTCCATACTTGCTGTTCAGCACAGCCCAGACAAGCCAGCATTATGTACAGGTGTGTACAGATGGAGGCCGTCTTCAATTATCATGAGACCAAGATAGACAAGGCCTGGTAGGTCTGCATTCTCCCAATGCTTCCAGTGGAGGTTATGCATAATGACTCTGTCATTACCAATGCCTCCAGCAACAGTCACCAGGATGTATGAAACACTGAAGGCTGCCCTTCTACAAACAGCAATGAAGACTAACCTTCAACAGCAGGACCAGCTACTCAGCAACAAGACCCTGGCAAACAAAATGCTGACCCAGCCTCTATGCCATGTGCAGTATATCATGCATATTATATTGTATCTGGCCTTTTTCCCAATGAGATCATATGGTCACTTTGGATACAGATCCTGCTGGTACACATTCAACCTGCATTATTCAGTATGGGATGACGATGCCTTATTGGAGCAGTTGGCTACCCTTGCTGATCAGCTCTATATGGCACCAGTGTTCAACCTTGCTGATGCCCAGCAGACTGTCACTACAGCAGACAAAACAATTAGGTGCCCTACAAGGCTGACGCTCCAACCGACTTGGGAAAAATTACCAAACTGGTTCAAAGCCAGCCCACAGGCGATTGCAGTGGCATCAATCGGGACTCTGTTCCCAACGGACGTTCTAGCACTAGGCTCATAATCGTCAACCACCATGATCCAGGTTGGGAAACACATATGACATTGTTAATGGTCAGTAATCCCACCCTGTCAGTGACTGCACGTCTTTACAGCTCACACATCACGACCAACTGCCATTTTCTCATTGACATGGGAGCAATATCTGGAGTGCTGCCACCACCCCCAGATCCCACTCTCTCTCTTTTCTTAGACCTATGTGCCCTCAACAGTTTTCAAAATAAGATTTAGAATACTATTTCAGTAATACAGTATTTGATATTGTGTCTGAAAGTTATTGGGAATTATACATCATCTAAGTTTTGAATTAACATCAAGAATTAAGCTATTCACTTGCAAAAAATTCTTGTTCAAAGAAAAGAATACTGTCGATATAGTGCTCAAATTACACATCTGTAATGCTATGCAAGATGGAAAGAATTCCATACATATTCCATTGAGTATTACTCCAAAATGTATAAGTATACTCATAATGTTAAGGTATGCCCAAAACTGTACATAATTAGTGCCTTATAAAAACTAAATACAAATTACTGTACCTGCTAAGCAATTACAACAATGAGATTGTCTGTGTTTTCTGGGAGAGTCAGCGGGACTCTACCAGAAAGAGGCATTTCATTACATTCAATGCTGGGATTTTTTTTTAATAAAATACTATTATTATTATTATTCTTAACAAAATATTTACAGAGTTTAGCACATCTCAACACAAGGAGGCTCAGAAGTCAATCAGTATGGGACTTTCTACAATATAATGTTCAAGACAACATTATTTTATCTTTCACAAAGTTGGCACATGAGTTTTGTGAAAGCTACAAGATGCAATTACCTAAGTTTAGTTACATTATGAGCGCTACACTCATGCTGTCTTCCCAGCACTCTTTGTTGTATAAAATACTTTTAATCTACTGTGCTTATGGTTTTGGCCTCCATCACCTTCTCCCATAACTTGTTCCAACAGTCTACCACTCTGTTTGCAAAAGTGAATTTTCTTATATTTCTTTGGCAGCTTTGTTTAGTTAGTTTATGTCTATGACCTCTTGTTCTTGAAGTCCAGGTCTCAAGAATTCTTCCCTATCAATTTTATTGATTCCTGTTACTATTTTGTACATAGTGATAATATTGTCTCGTTCTTTTATCTGTTATTTTTGGCATATTTAATGCCTCTGACCTCTCTTTGTAACATGTGCCTGTATCCCAGTGATGGAGATTCATTAAAATAGCCTTAGTGAACACATCTTGTGAACAAGCAAGTGAACAGCTAATTATTTGTTCCTATATCACCTCTAATATAGTTCCTATATCATGTTCCTATATCACTGAGCTAATTATTTGTTCCTATATCACCTCAATATCAAACTAAAAAAATACATAAGTTATGAATGATTATATAGAAATAATCCCAACAGGAATGAAATAATGTTGTCCTGTAATAAGCTGCAGCACAACTAGTTTTAAAAACTAGCTCTTGAATGCAGTTTTCTAATTGTAGCTGTAATTGTGTTACAATAATGATAATTATTATTATTATTATGATAAAACTAAAAATAGGTTATGAAACTGTTTTATAGATAAACTCAGCAAGTTGCAAACTTACAGATGGTCCAGGGAGGCCACGAGGGCCTACAGGGCCCTGAATACCCTGGGATCCCTTAGGGCCATCTTTTCCAGAGCGACCAGGTGGACCCTGAGGGCCAGCTGGTCCTCTCTGTCCAACTCCTCCCATTGGGCCAACTTCACCTCGCAGACCTTGCTTGCCTGGCTCTCCCTGTAATATACATAATGATGCTAGAGTGTGTCATGGGATTTATAGAATTGATCACAAAATATAGGAAAATGTTGAACAAACTAAAATACTACTTTACCTTAAGACCTGGTTGCCCTGCATGTCCTTTAGGTCCCATAATTCCTAATTGTCCAGGGTTGCCTGGTGGTCCTTGAAGTCCTGGAGGCCCTGGGGCTCCCTGTGGTCCCTCTTCTCCTCTTTCTCCTTGCATACCTTGAGCGCCCTGTGGTCCAGGTGTTCCAGGTGGAGAAGGCTCTCCAGGAAAGCCTGGTTCACCACGGCCTCCTGCTGAACCCTTGAGGCCCTCGGGGCCTGGTGGACCCATTGGCCCTTGAGGACCCTAGAATTCAAGAGTAAGGGTATTAGCATTTCAAATTCTGTAAATACAGTAATTCATTTAAAGCTGGTGCCTGGGGTATACCAAGGTGTGACACAGTGTAGGTGGTGCCTGGGGTATACCAAGGTGTGACACCGTGTAGCTGGTGCCCGGGGTATACCAAGGTGTGACACAGTGTAGCTGGTGCCCGGGGTATACCAAGGTGTGACACAGTGTAGCTGGTGCCCGGGGTATACCAAGGTGTGACACAGTGTAGCTGGTGCCTGGGGTATACCACGGTGTGACACAGTGTAGCTGGTGCCTGGGATATACCAAGGTGTGACAGCGTGTAGCTGGTGCCTGGGGTATACCAAGGTGTGACACAGTGTAGCTGGTGCCTGGGGTATACCAAGGTGTGACACAGTGTAGCTGGTGCCTGGGGTATACCAAGGTGTGACACAGTGTAGCTGGTGCCTGGGGTATACCAAGGTGTGACACCGTGTAGCTGGTGCCTGGGGTATACCAAGGTGTGACACCGTGTAGCTGGTGCCTGGGGTATACCAAGGTGTGACACAGTGTAGCTGGTGCCTGGGGTATACCAAGGTGTGACACCGTGTAGCTGGTGCCTGGGGTATACCAAGGTGTGACACAGTGTAGCTGGTGCCTGGGGTATACCAAGGTGTGACACAGTGTAGCTGGTGCCCGGGGTATACCAAGGTGTGACACCGTGTAGCTGGTGCCCGGGGTATACCAAGGTGTGACACAGTGTAGCTGGTGCCTGGGGTATACCAAGGTGTGACACAGTGTAGCTGGTGCCCGGGGTATACCAAGGTGTGACACAGTGTAGCTGGTGCCCGGGGTATACCAAGGTGTGACACCGTGTAGCTGGTGCCCGGGGTATACCAAGGTGTGACACAGTGTAGCTGGTGCCTGGGGTATACCAAGGTGTGACACAGTGTAGCTGGTGCCTGGGGTATACCAAGGTGTGACACAGTGTAGCTGGTGCCTGGGGTATACCAAGGTGTGACACAGTGTAGCTGGTGCCTGGGGTATACCAAGGTGTGACACCATGTAGCTAGTGTTAAGTGCTATTCATCTAAGATAAATATGCAGTGGAATATATTGGTACCAGTCTACAGTGCTTCTGACCTCCTGGTCTCTGCGAGTCTGTTTGACTTCACCATTACAATAATGTACATTTTGTTTTATTTATATGTATATACAGAGGTCTTACATTCTTGTAAAGTCTCTAGCATGTATAACATTTCGGGCAGGTCCTAAATCCTAATTTTTCCCTGGAATACAGCCCGCCAAATCGTTAAACAACCAGGTACCTATTCACTGCTGGGTGAACAGAGGCTACAGTTAAGGATTGGCGCCCAGTCAATCCTTCCCGGCCAGGATACGAATCCAGGCCAAAGCGCTCGCGAAGCACCGGGCGAGTGCCTTACCTCTGACCCACGGGGACTGTTCACACATCATTTCTTGCCCCAATGCTGCAGTATATTGTCATACCATTTTGTCCTTCACTTTTACTACATATCATTTCCTCAACTCTTCAAATATTTTCATAACTACAACTACTGCATACACAGTAGGCCTATACTATTTGCTGCTGACAATACGTCTCATCTTCTCAAACATCTTTCCCGGACACTACTTACTATTGTAAATAATGAGTTAAACAAAGTTCACTCATGGATGTTAACCAACAGACTCGCACTAAACAGTGAAAAGACCTATTATATTTTATTTGGAATCAAATCACTAAACCAAATACATCTTGGGTAAAACCAATCTTTACAACTATAGAATATTTAAAAGACAGGTTGACGTTCGTCCAACGGGCAGTGAGGCTAAACACAGTCCCTGAATACCTTGCCCTACAGGTTTTTTTCCCCAGTTTTCTCAGCAGGTCTCCCAATCCTACTAGGTCTAGCCAGCTGTATAAACAGAATTAACTTGGAACAGGCCAGAGCGTCTATGGCGACATACACGCTCCTTCTCAAAGCCTCATATACAAGAGAAATGACCAAAATAGAGCTCATCGTAGCCCGCCTCCTAATACGAGGTTGGATCAGGTAAGAATACGTACGGCCTTATGGGAAGGTTTCAGACGAAAGACAACTCCGAAACCAGGGACCCTCGAAAGACCATACGATGGAAGTCTGATGATGCGCTCGGATCAAACGTCACACAGGTATGAAAGTTTTTTCTCAAACCGTCAGGAAGGTACGCTGCAGAGCCTGACTACAGCAGTGGACAAAGCCCTAGGTCTAGGAGCCATAGAACAAGTGCAGCCACAGCAACAACAAAAGCAAGCGGCCCCAAAACCCTTACGTTCAGTGCTCCTGATGAACGATGACGATGATGCCCCTCTGTCCCCTATTCTAGGCAAGCCTGCCCCACAAACACCCCCCTTCCCACCCAGAACAGACTTGAACATCCCGTTGGAAGTTCAGCCTTCCTTCGGGATACCTTCTTCGGGATACCTTCCAACGGGAAGGTATCCCGTTGGAAGTTCAGTCTCTTCGGGAAGAGCCCGAAGAGACTGAACTTCCAACGGGACACCTCGGCGAACAACAACAACAGGCAAGGCAGGAATAACAGAGACAGGTCACGAGTCGGATGGAGAGATTCATCAAGAGACAAACCGGGTGGAAACCAGACGAGGAACAACAGGGACAGATCCAGACACAACCGAGGCCAGTGTAACAGGAACGGGACCGGCGACCACAGAGACCAGAACAACAGGGACAGATCCAGACACAACCGAGGCCAGTGTAACAGGAACGGGACCGGCGACCACAGAGACCAGAACAACAGGGACAGATCCAGACACAACCGAGGCCAGTGTAACAGGAACGGGACCGGTGACCACAGAGACCAGAACAACAGGGACAGATCCAAACACAACCGAGGCCAGTGTAACAGGAACAGGACCGGCGACCACAGAGACCAGAACAACAGGATCACCCCAGGAGACAACAGAGGCAATAACAGCAGAGACTACCCCTCCTGGAACAACAACAATAACAGGGACAACAGACAGGGAGGTAATAATAATAATAGGGGCCATAATAATATTTTTTTCAGAAACAGAAACAGGGGCAGAGGCAACAATCGGAACCAGGAGAACAACAGACCCAAGCGCTGGAACAGCACGAACCGAGACCAACAGGGAGGAGACAGAGACCGAGGGTGGAACGGTGGAGATCGGAGAAACTCAGGAAACGACAGAAATTAAGGCAGAAAAGAGGACAACTGAAACAGACAGTTGTCTCTGAGGTACCCCTAACTGAACAGGAGAGGAAACTGCTGGAAAGGGGACTTACGTTCGTGATAGGCCCTCCGGCGCGTAAGAAGAGAGAAGATACGATAGAGGATCTGTGCAACAACTTGGAAACTAGTATCAATCAAGTTTGGAGCAACCTCCGGCCGGAGCAAGGTAAGTCACAGGGAGCAATTAAAAGAACTAAACTCTCCCTCTCTTTTAGGTACCTCCACCCCAACAAACCAGTCCAGTGCCCAAACTACAACCTAGTAGGCCTTAAACCGGTAATCCAGCAAATGAAGGTCGACCTCAAGCGCGGTGCGGAACGACGAAGCAACTGCAATATCACAAGGGAGGAGAAGGACGCCCTATCAACGCTGAAAGGACGCACAGATATTGTGATATAGCCGGCGGACAAGGGAGGTGCTGTCGTCGCCTGGAGAAAGGACAACTACAGGAACGAGATGGAGGCACCTGGCAGACACTGCAGCCTACAAACAGATACACAACCAGGATGTGGCGCTTAGAAACGCCCAAACGAGGAGTAAAAGGATAGTCCTCAAGTTGTTCGAAAACAAAACTGGGGACGGGAGAGGAGGACTCATGCAGGTAGGGGCGAGAGATTTCTTCCTGGCCTTTGAATCTATCATTCCCCACCTCTACCTTTTACCAAAGATCCATAAAGCACTATAAGAAACAACAGGAACGTGGCAAGGGAAACCGGTTCTAAGTGTTATGATCTCAGCCTACAGGAGAAACGAGTCTCCCTCCTTGAGAGTTATTCAGCAAGCCTGACCTAACTAGAAGGTCTAGCAAATATTGAGGTGATAACCCATATGAAAAATGGCTGGTTGGATATGTAAAACAATTTAAGATTATGGGCAGTAAGTAAGGAAATAGATAAATGACTGGCTAGGAGATGTGGACATTTTGCTGGAGGCGTGAGGCTCGCTTCCGGAGGACCTTGACCTCACTTGAGTGCCAGACATCGCAGGGGGAAGCCGCGCTCCGTTTGAGCTCCCGCCAGAAGGGAACCCCTAGTGATATATCTCTAAGAGAAGAGAAGTGTGCAGACGTGCCAGCTGTGGAATTGAGCTGAGAACGTTGTGGTGTCAAGTCTTGGACGGCGAGGAGAGTTTAATAAGCTGCTCAGAGGCATTTTCGTGGGCTGTGTGGAGCGCCCTGACCAGACGCCGTCAGAGGGAAAGCGCCCTCGATCAGTTAATCTGTGGTAAGCACGATATACGCCAGTTCATAGTGATTGCTTATAGTTGGTCGTGTGCCCAGCGACAGTAGCGATGTTTATTTATAAGTTAGACATGTTTTAATAAGGCAGAAGGCCTGAAATAAGAGAGTGGAGAGGGAGGAACACGGAGCGACGTCCGCCCCCTCTGAGCGCTGGCGGACGACTGAGGGAGCCTGGCTCCGGATGGAGGAAGACCCTCCCAGCGAGTGAGGACCGCCGCCAGGCGAGGTGGAGTATGGACCCGCCCAAAACGGGGGAGTCCACTCTCACTGTATGTAGAGAACAGATAGAGGTTTGAGGCAAACATATTGTGTGAATATTTTTTGTTTATGTGTTAAAGGGGAACATTTTATTGGAGTGTCGATGGGTTGCAGGTTTGTTCTTTGGGGAAGAAGTTGCTGAGAACTTCGAAGCCAGCAGATGAAGTAGCTGATGAGACTCCAAGGTAGTGGAGCAGAGGACCTCGAGCTGTGAGGAGAAGCAGCAGTGAAGAGGAGTGTCACG